CTCTTTCTCACACACACACGCACACTCCCCTCCCCCACCCCCCCACCCCACGTCCTCCCATTCCGCCCCTCCCTGCCCCTTTCCCACCCCCTCGCACGCCCCTCACCTCCCACCTCCGTGCAACTGGTTTCCCCCCTATGGTGCCTCCCTTGCATCGCTCGCCCGCTTGCTCACCCTCTGCCCCCCATTTTCCGTGCCCTCAGCTGGCCCAGCCCTGCCCGTTGCTGCCCCTCCCCTTGCCCCCTCAACTCCCCTGCCCCCCGTACACCCCAGTCCCATCCACCGCTCCCCACCCTCCCCACGGCGGTGCCCGTTCCGCTCTCCACACCCCGCGACCGTGGTGCGGCTTCCAACCGCCCCAACGGTGGGTGCCCGCTACGGGGCGTTTCTTCGCACGGGCAAGCCTCCCCGGGGGGCACCACACCCCGCTGCAGTCGTTGTTGGTCAAAAAAAACGAAAATAAAAAAAATCGGACTGCGCTAAAATCGTCCTTTCTTTTTCCCGCTTGCCCCTCCCCCGGCACGTGCCGAGCAAGGGGCATAAATGGGTACAACACGAGGACTTCCCGGGAGGTCACCCAGCCCAGTACTGCTCTCGCCCACCGGCGCATAGCTTCGGAGTTCTGATGGGATCCGGCGTAGTAGCCGAGGTATGATCGTACCACGTCAATCCCGTGCCCCGACCGGTACACACCCTTGCCCGGGTCCCCCCTTCATAGTCACACCCCCTGCCTCCTCATGCCATCCGCTCCCCCCCGCCCCCACCCTCCGCGTGCCCGCTCCCTTGCCGCCTCTTTTGACCCTCCCTGCCCCCTCGCCGTTTCCCACCGCCCGCCATTTCGCTCCTCCCCGCCCGTGCGCTCCCCTCGTTTACCTTCTCCTCCCCCCTCCCCTCCTCTGCTGCACGCCTCTTCCTTCCCCTCGCCGACCCACTCCACTCCCTGCCCCTCCTCAATCCGCACCCTGCCCCTCGTATCTCGCCCCCCTATGCTTGGTTTCTCCCCTCCCTGCCCCTCGCCGCCTTTCTCCGCTCCCCACCTCCCCCCTCTCCCTGCTCCCCCACTCTCCCCCCCTTGCCCTTGGCTTCCTACCTCCCTGCCCCACCTTTCCCCCCTCCGTGTGCTCAGCTTCTCCCCTCCCTGCCCCTCCCTCCTCCCCGCCCTGCCCCTCATTTTCCGCCCCCCCACGCCCGGTTTCTCCCCTCCCCGCGCCTCCCTTTCTTTCTCCGTGCCTCTCCTTTGCTCCCTCCCTGCCCCCGCCTGCCCATGCCCCTGTCTTTGGCTTCTCCCCTCCCTGCCCCACGTTTCTTCCCTCCCTGCCCCCCCTCTGCCCCTCCCTTGTTTTCCCCTCACCCATTGCTTCTCCCCTCCCTGCCCTTGATTTCCCGCACCCCTGCCCTTGTTTCCTACCATCCATGCCCCTCGTTTCCCCCCTTTGTACGTTCAGCCTCTTCCCTCCCTGCCCCTCCCCTCCTCCCCCCCTGCCCTTTGCGTTCCCCTCGTTACGCTCCCTTCTCCCCATCCCTGCTGCCCTCTTGCCACCATCAGCCCATCCGCACCACCAGCCCCCCTCCCACCCTTCTCTCCCCCCCCTCCCTTTCCCTCTCTCTCTCTCTCTCTCTCTCTCTCTCTCTCTCTTTCTCACACACACACGCACACTCCCCTCCCCCACCCCCCCACCCACGTCCTCCCATTCCGCCCCTCCCTGCCCCTTTCCCACCCCCTCGCACGCCCCTCACCTCCCACCTCCGTGCAACTGGTTTCCCCCCTATGGTGCCTCCCTTGCATCGCTCGCCCCGCTGCTCACCCTCTGCCCGCCCCTTTTCCGTGCCCTCAGCTGGCCCAGCCCCTGCCCGTTGCTGCCCCTCCCCTTGCCCCCTCAACTCCCCTGCCCCCCGTACACCCCAGTCCCATCCAACCGCCCCCACCCTCCCCCGGCTGCCCGTTTCCGCTCTCCACCCCCGCGACCGTGTGCGGCTTCCAACCGCCCAACGGTGGTGCGCACGGGGCGTTTCTTCGCACGGGCAAGCCTCCCCGGGGGGCCCCCACCCCGCTGAGTCGTTGTTTGGGCAAAAAAACGAAAATAAAAAAAAATCGGACGCGCTAAAATCGTCCTTTCTTTTTCCCGCTTGCCCCTCCCCCGGCACGTGCCGAGCAAGGGGCATAAATGGGTACAACACGAGGACTTCCCGGGAGGTCACCCAGCCCAGTACTGCTCTCGCCCACCGGCGCTTAGCTTCGGAGTTCTGATGGGATCCGGCGTAGTAGCCGAGGTATGATCGTACCACGTCAATCCCGTGCCCCGACCGGTACACACCCCTTGCCCGGGTCCCCCCTTCATAGTCACACCCCCTGCCTCCTCATGCCATCCGCTCCCCCCCGCCCCCACCCTCCGCGTGCCCGCTCCCTTGCCGCCTCTTTTGACCCTCCCTGCCCCCCTCGCCGTTTCCCACCGCCCGCCATTCGCTCCTCCCCGCCCGTGCGCTCCCCTCGTTTACCTTCTCCTCCCCCCTCCCCTCCTCTGCTGCACGCCTCTTCCTTCCCCTCGCCGACCCACTCCACTCCCTGCCCCTCCTCAATCCGCACCCTGCCCCTCGTATCTCGCCCCCCTATGCTTGGTTTCTCCCCTCCCTGCCCCTCGCCGCCTTTCTCCGCTCCCCACCTCCCCCCTCTCCCTGCTCCCCCACTCTCCCCCCCTTGCCCTTGGCTTCCTACCTCCCTGCCCCACCTTTCCCCCCTCCGTGTGCTCAGCTTCTCCCCTCCCTGCCCCTCCCTCCTCCCCGCCCTGCCCCTCATTTTCCGCCCCCCCACGCCCGGTTTCTCCCCTCCCCGCGCCTCCCTTTCTTTCTCCGTGCCTCTCCTTTGCTCCCTCCCTGCCCCCGCCTGCCCATGCCCCTGTCTTTGGCTTCTCCCCTCCCTGCCCCACGTTTCTTCCCTCCCTGCCCCCCCTCTGCCCCTCCCTTGTTTTCCCCTCACCCATTGCTTCTCCCCTCCCTGCCCTTGATTTCCCGCACCCCTGCCCTTGTTTCCTACCATCCATGCCCCTCGTTTCCCCCCTTTGTACGTTCAGCCTCTTCCCTCCCTGCCCCTCCCCTCCTCCCCCCCTGCCCTTTGCGTTCCCCTCGCTTACGCTCCCTTCTCCCCATCCCTGCTGCCCTCTTGCCACCATCAGCCCATCCGCACCACCAGCCCCCCTCCCACCCTTCTCTCCCCCCTCCCTCCCTTCTCTCTCTCTCTCTCTCTCTCTCTCTCTCTCTCTCTCTCTTTCTCACACACACACGCACACTCCCCTCCCCCACCCCCCCACCCACGTCCTCCCATTCCGCCCCTCCCTGCCCCTTTCCCACCCCCTCGCACGCCCCTCACCTCCCACCTCCGTGCAACTGGTTTCCCCCCTATGGTGCCTCCCTTGCATCGCTCGCCCCGCTGCTCACCCTCTGCCCGCCCCTTTTCCGTGCCCTCAGCTGGCCCAGCCCCTGCCCGTTGCTGCCCCTCCCCTTGCCCCCTCAACTCCCCTGCCCCCCGTACACCCCAGTCCCATCCAACCGCCCCCACCCTCCCCCGGCTGCCCGTTTCCGCTCTCCACCCCCGCGACCGTGTGCGGCTTCCAACCGCCCAACGGTGGTGCGCACGGGGCGTTTCTTCGCACGGGCAAGCCTCCCCGGGGGGCCCCCACCCCGCTGAGTCGTTGTTTGGGCAAAAAAACGAAAATAAAAAAAAAATCGGACGCGCTAAAATCGTCCTTTCTTTTTCCCGCTTGCCCCTCCCCCGGCACGTGCCGAGCAAGGGGCATAAATGGGTACAACACGAGGACTTCCCGGGAGGTCACCCAGCCCAGTACTGCTCTCGCCCACCGGCGCTTAGCTTCGGAGTTCTGATGGGATCCGGCGTAGTAGCCGAGGTATGATCGTACCACGTCAATCCCGTGCCCCGACCGGTACACACCCCTTGCCCGGGTCCCCCCTTCATAGTCACACCCCCTGCCTCCTCATGCCATCCGCTCCCCCCCGCCCCCACCCTCCGCGTGCCCGCTCCCTTGCCGCCTCTTTTGACCCTCCCTGCCCCCCTCGCCGTTTCCCACCGCCCGCCATTCGCTCCTCCCCGCCCGTGCGCTCCCCTCGTTTACCTTCTCCTCCCCCCTCCCCTCCTCTGCTGCACGCCTCTTCCTTCCCCTCGCCGACCCACTCCACTCCCTGCCCCTCCTCAATCCGCACCCTGCCCCTCGTATCTCGCCCCCCTATGCTTGGTTTCTCCCCTCCCTGCCCCTCGCCGCCTTTCTCCGCTCCCCACCTCCCCCCTCTCCCTGCTCCCCCACTCTCCCCCCCTTGCCCTTGGCTTCCTACCTCCCTGCCCCACCTTTCCCCCCTCCGTGTGCTCAGCTTCTCCCCTCCCTGCCCCTCCCTCCTCCCCGCCCTGCCCCTCATTTTCCGCCCCCCCACGCCCGGTTTCTCCCCTCCCCGCGCCTCCCTTTCTTTCTCCGTGCCTCTCCTTTGCTCCCTCCCTGCCCCCGCCTGCCCATGCCCCTGTCTTTGGCTTCTCCCCTCCCTGCCCCACGTTTCTTCCCTCCCTGCCCCCCCTCTGCCCCTCCCTTGTTTTCCCCTCACCCATTGCTTCTCCCCTCCCTGCCCTTGATTTCCCGCACCCCTGCCCTTGTTTCCTACCATCCATGCCCCTCGTTTCCCCCCTTTGTACGTTCAGCCTCTTCCCTCCCTGCCCCTCCCCTCCTCCCCCCCTGCCCTTTGCGTTCCCCTCGTTACGCTCCCTTCTCCCCATCCCTGCTGCCCTCTTGCCACCATCAGCCCATCCGCACCACCAGCCCCCCTCCCACCCTTCTCTCCCCCCCTCCCTTTCCCTCTCTCTCTCTCTCTCTCTCTCTCTCTCTCTCTCTCTTTCTCACACACACACGCACACTCCCCTCCCCCACCCCCCACCCACGTCCTCCCATTCCGCCCCTCCCTGCCCCTTTCCCACCCCCTCGCACGCCCCTCACCTCCCACCTCCGTGCAACTGGTTTCCCCCCTATGGTGCCTCCCTTGCATCGCTCGCCCCTCTGCTCACCCTCTGCCCGCCCCTTTTCCGTGCCCTCAGCTGGCCCAGCCCCTGCCCGTTGCTGCCCCTCCCCTTGCCCCCTCAACTCCCCTGCCCCCCGTACACCCCAGTCCCATCCAACCGCCCCCACCCTCCCCCGGCTGCCCGTTTCCGCTCTCCACCCCCGCGACCGTGTGCGGCTTCCAACCGCCCAACGGTGGTGCGCACGGGGCGTTTCTTCGCACGGGCAAGCCTCCCCGGGGGGCCCCCACCCCGCTGAGTCGTTGTTTGGGCAAAAAAACGAAAATAAAAAAAAATCGGACGCGCTAAAATCGTCCTTTCTTTTTCCCGCTTGCCCCTCCCCCGGCACGTGCCGAGCAAGGGGCATAAATGGGTACAACACGAGGACTTCCCGGGAGGTCACCCAGCCCAGTACTGCTCTCGCCCACCGGCGCTTAGCTTCGGAGTTCTGATGGGATCCGGCGTAGTAGCCGAGGTATGATCGTACCACGTCAATCCCGTGCCCCGACCGGTACACACCCCTTGCCCGGGTCCCCCCTTCATAGTCACACCCCCTGCCTCCTCATGCCATCCGCTCCCCCCCGCCCCCACCCTCCGCGTGCCCGCTCCCTTGCCGCCTCTTTTGACCCTCCCTGCCCCCCTCGCCGTTTCCCACCGCCCGCCATTCGCTCCTCCCCGCCCGTGCGCTCCCCTCGTTTACCTTCTCCTCCCCCCTCCCCTCCTCTGCTGCACGCCTCTTCCTTCCCCTCGCCGACCCACTCCACTCCCTGCCCCTCCTCAATCCGCACCCTGCCCCTCGTATCTCGCCCCCCTATGCTTGGTTTCTCCCCTCCCTGCCCCTCGCCGCCTTTCTCCGCTCCCCACCTCCCCCCTCTCCCTGCTCCCCCACTCTCCCCCCCTTGCCCTTGGCTTCCTACCTCCCTGCCCCACCTTTCCCCCCTCCGTGTGCTCAGCTTCTCCCCTCCCTGCCCCTCCCTCCTCCCCGCCCTGCCCCTCATTTTCCGCCCCCCCACGCCCGGTTTCTCCCCTCCCCGCGCCTCCCTTTCTTTCTCCGTGCCTCTCCTTTGCTCCCTCCCTGCCCCCGCCTGCCCATGCCCCTGTCTTTGGCTTCTCCCCTCCCTGCCCCACGTTTCTTCCCTCCCTGCCCCCCCTCTGCCCCTCCCTTGTTTTCCCCTCACCCATTGCTTCTCCCCTCCCTGCCCTTGATTTCCCGCACCCCTGCCCTTGTTTCCTACCATCCATGCCCCTCGTTTCCCCCCTTTGTACGTTCAGCCTCTTCCCTCCCTGCCCCTCCCCTCCTCCCCCCCTGCCCTTTGCGTTCCCCTCGTTACGCTCCCTTCTCCCCATCCCTGCTGCCCTCTTGCCACCATCAGCCCATCCGCACCACCAGCCCCCCTCCCACCCTTCTCTCCCCCCCTCCCTTTCCCTCTCTCTCTCTCTCTCTCTCTCTCTCTCTTTCTCACACACACACGCACACTCCCCTCCCCCACCCCCCACCCACGTCCTCCCATTCCGCCCCTCCCTGCCCCTTTCCCACCCCCTCGCACGCCCCTCACCTCCCACCTCCGTGCAACTGGTTTCCCCCCTATGGTGCCTCCCTTGCATCGCTCGCCCCTCTGCTCACCCTCTGCCCGCCCCTTTTCCGTGCCCTCAGCTGGCCCAGCCCCTGCCCGTTGCTGCCCCTCCCCTTGCCCCCTCAACTCCCCTGCCCCCCGTACACCCCAGTCCCATCCAACCGCCCCCACCCTCCCCCGGCTGCCCGTTTCCGCTCTCCACCCCCGCGACCGTGTGCGGCTTCCAACCGCCCAACGGTGGTGCGCACGGGGCGTTTCTTCGCACGGGCAAGCCTCCCCGGGGGGCCCCCACCCCGCTGAGTCGTTGTTTGGGCAAAAAAACGAAAATAAAAAAAATCGGACGCGCTAAAATCGTCCTTTCTTTTTCCCGCTTGCCCCTCCCCCGGCACGTGCCGAGCAAGGGGCATAAATGGGTACAACACGAGGACTTCCCGGGAGGTCACCCAGCCCAGTACTGCTCTCGCCCACCGGCGCTTAGCTTCGGAGTTCTGATGGGATCCGGCGTAGTAGCCGAGGTATGATCGTACCACGTCAATCCCGTGCCCCGACCGGTACACACCCCTTGCCCGGGTCCCCCCTTCATAGTCACACCCCCTGCCTCCTCATGCCATCCGCTCCCCCCCGCCCCCACCCTCCGCGTGCCCGCTCCCTTGCCGCCTCTTTTGACCCTCCCTGCCCCCCTCGCCGTTTCCCACCGCCCGCCATTCGCTCCTCCCCGCCCGTGCGCTCCCCTCGTTTACCTTCTCCTCCCCCCTCCCCTCCTCTGCTGCACGCCTCTTCCTTCCCCTCGCCGACCCACTCCACTCCCTGCCCCTCCTCAATCCGCACCCTGCCCCTCGTATCTCGCCCCCCTATGCTTGGTTTCTCCCCTCCCTGCCCCTCGCCGCCTTTCTCCGCTCCCCACCTCCCCCCTCTCCCTGCTCCCCCACTCTCCCCCCCTTGCCCTTGGCTTCCTACCTCCCTGCCCCACCTTTCCCCCCTCCGTGTGCTCAGCTTCTCCCCTCCCTGCCCCTCCCTCCTCCCCGCCCTGCCCCTCATTTTCCGCCCCCCCACGCCCGGTTTCTCCCCTCCCCGCGCCTCCCTTTCTTTCTCCGTGCCTCTCCTTTGCTCCCTCCCTGCCCCCGCCTGCCCATGCCCCTGTCTTTGGCTTCTCCCCTCCCTGCCCCACGTTTCTTCCCTCCCTGCCCCCCCTCTGCCCCTCCCTTGTTTTCCCCTCACCCATTGCTTCTCCCCTCCCTGCCCTTGATTTCCCGCACCCCTGCCCTTGTTTCCTACCATCCATGCCCCTCGTTTCCCCCCTTTGTACGTTCAGCCTCTTCCCTCCCTGCCCCTCCCCTCCTCCCCCCCTGCCCTTTGCGTTCCCCTCGTTACGCTCCCTTCTCCCCATCCCTGCTGCCCTCTTGCCACCATCAGCCCATCCGCACCACCAGCCCCCCTCCCACCCTTCTCTCCCCCCTCCCTTTCCCTCTCTCTCTCTCTCTCTCTCTCTCTCTCTCTTTCTCACACACACACGCACACTCCCCTCCCCCACCCCCCCACCCACGTCCTCCCATTCCGCCCCTCCCTGCCCCTTTCCCACCCCCTCGCACGCCCCTCACCTCCCACCTCCGTGCAACTGGTTTCCCCCCTATGGTGCCTCCCTTGCATCGCTCGCCCCTCTGCTCACCCTCTGCCCGCCCCTTTTCCGTGCCCTCAGCTGGCCCAGCCCCTGCCCGTTGCTGCCCCTCCCCTTGCCCCCTCAACTCCCCTGCCCCCCGTACACCCCAGTCCCATCCAACCGCCCCCACCCTCCCCCGGCTGCCCGTTTCCGCTCTCCACCCCCGCGACCGTGTGCGGCTTCCAACCGCCCAACGGTGGTGCGCACGGGGCGTTTCTTCGCACGGGCAAGCCTCCCCGGGGGGCCCCCACCCCGCTGAGTCGTTGTTTGGGCAAAAAAAACGAAAATAAAAAAAATCGGACGCGCTAAAATCGTCCTTTCTTTTTCCCGCTTGCCCCTCCCCCGGCACGTGCCGAGCAAGGGGCATAAATGGGTACAACACGAGGACTTCCCGGGAGGTCACCCAGCCCAGTACTGCTCTCGCCCACCGGCGCTTAGCTTCGGAGTTCTGATGGGATCCGGCGTAGTAGCCGAGGTATGATCGTACCACGTCAATCCCGTGCCCCGACCGGTACACACCCCTTGCCCGGGTCCCCCCTTCATAGTCACACCCCCTGCCTCCTCATGCCATCCGCTCCCCCCCGCCCCCACCCTCCGCGTGCCCGCTCCCTTGCCGCCTCTTTTGACCCTCCCTGCCCCCCTCGCCGTTTCCCACCGCCCGCCATTCGCTCCTCCCCGCCCGTGCGCTCCCCTCGTTTACCTTCTCCTCCCCCCTCCCCTCCTCTGCTGCACGCCTCTTCCTTCCCCTCGCCGACCCACTCCACTCCCTGCCCCTCCTCAATCCGCACCCTGCCCCTCGTATCTCGCCCCCCTATGCTTGGTTTCTCCCCTCCCTGCCCCTCGCCGCCTTTCTCCGCTCCCCACCTCCCCCCTCTCCCTGCTCCCCCACTCTCCCCCCCTTGCCCTTGGCTTCCTACCTCCCTGCCCCACCTTTCCCCCCTCCGTGTGCTCAGCTTCTCCCCTCCCTGCCCCTCCCTCCTCCCCGCCCTGCCCCTCATTTTCCGCCCCCCCACGCCCGGTTTCTCCCCTCCCCGCGCCTCCCTTTCTTTCTCCGTGCCTCTCCTTTGCTCCCTCCCTGCCCCCGCCTGCCCATGCCCCTGTCTTTGGCTTCTCCCCTCCCTGCCCCACGTTTCTTCCCTCCCTGCCCCCCCTCTGCCCCTCCCTTGTTTTCCCCTCACCCATTGCTTCTCCCCTCCCTGCCCTTGATTTCCCGCACCCCTGCCCTTGTTTCCTACCATCCATGCCCCTCGTTTCCCCCCTTTGTACGTTCAGCCTCTTCCCTCCCTGCCCCTCCCCTCCTCCCCCCCTGCCCTTTGCGTTCCCCTCGTTACGCTCCCTTCTCCCCATCCCTGCTGCCCTCTTGCCACCATCAGCCCATCCGCACCACCAGCCCCCCTCCCACCCTTCTCTCCCCCCCTCCCTTTCCCTCTCTCTCTCTCTCTCTCTCTCTCTCTCTCTTTCTCACACACACACGCACACTCCCCTCCCCCACCCCCCACCCACGTCCTCCCATTCCGCCCCTCCCTGCCCCTTTCCCACCCCCTCGCACGCCCCTCACCTCCCACCTCCGTGCAACTGGTTTCCCCCCTATGGTGCCTCCCTTGCATCGCTCGCCCCGCTGCTCACCCTCTGCCCGCCCCTTTTCCGTGCCCTCAGCTGGCCCAGCCCCTGCCCGTTGCTGCCCCTCCCCTTGCCCCCTCAACTCCCCTGCCCCCCGTACACCCCAGTCCCATCCAACCGCCCCCACCCTCCCCCGGCTGCCCGTTTCCGCTCTCCACCCCCGCGACCGTGTGCGGCTTCCAACCGCCCAACGGTGGTGCGCACGGGGCGTTTCTTCGCACGGGCAAGCCTCCCCGGGGGGCCCCCACCCCGCTGAGTCGTTGTTTGGGCAAAAAAACGAAAATAAAAAAAAATCGGACGCGCTAAAATCGTCCTTTCTTTTTCCCGCTTGCCCCTCCCCCGGCACGTGCCGAGCAAGGGGCATAAATGGGTACAACACGAGGACTTCCCGGGAGGTCACCCAGCCCAGTACTGCTCTCGCCCACCGGCGCTTAGCTTCGGAGTTCTGATGGGATCCGGCGTAGTAGCCGAGGTATGATCGTACCACGTCAATCCCGTGCCCCGACCGGTACACACCCCTTGCCCGGGTCCCCCCTTCATAGTCACACCCCCTGCCTCCTCATGCCATCCGCTCCCCCCCGCCCCCACCCTCCGCGTGCCCGCTCCCTTGCCGCCTCTTTTGACCCTCCCTGCCCCCCTCGCCGTTTCCCACCGCCCGCCATTCGCTCCTCCCCGCCCGTGCGCTCCCCTCGTTTACCTTCTCCTCCCCCCTCCCCTCCTCTGCTGCACGCCTCTTCCTTCCCCTCGCCGACCCACTCCACTCCCTGCCCCTCCTCAATCCGCACCCTGCCCCTCGTATCTCGCCCCCCTATGCTTGGTTTCTCCCCTCCCTGCCCCTCGCCGCCTTTCTCCGCTCCCCACCTCCCCCCTCTCCCTGCTCCCCCACTCTCCCCCCCTTGCCCTTGGCTTCCTACCTCCCTGCCCCACCTTTCCCCCCTCCGTGTGCTCAGCTTCTCCCCTCCCTGCCCCTCCCTCCTCCCCGCCCTGCCCCTCATTTTCCGCCCCCCCACGCCCGGTTTCTCCCCTCCCCGCGCCTCCCTTTCTTTCTCCGTGCCTCTCCTTTGCTCCCTCCCTGCCCCCGCCTGCCCATGCCCCTGTCTTTGGCTTCTCCCCTCCCTGCCCCACGTTTCTTCCCTCCCTGCCCCCCCTCTGCCCCTCCCTTGTTTTCCCCTCACCCATTGCTTCTCCCCTCCCTGCCCTTGATTTCCCGCACCCCTGCCCTTGTTTCCTACCATCCATGCCCCTCGTTTCCCCCCTTTGTACGTTCAGCCTCTTCCCTCCCTGCCCCTCCCCTCCTCCCCCCCTGCCCTTTGCGTTCCCCTCGTTACGCTCCCTTCTCCCCATCCCTGCTGCCCTCTTGCCACCATCAGCCCATCCGCACCACCAGCCCCCCTCCCACCCTTCTCTCCCCCCCTCCCTTTCCCTCTCTCTCTCTCTCTCTCTCTCTCTCTCTCTCTCTTTCTCACACACACACGCACACTCCCCTCCCCCACCCCCCACCCACGTCCTCCCATTCCGCCCCTCCCTGCCCCTTTCCCACCCCCTCGCACGCCCCTCACCTCCCACCTCCGTGCAACTGGTTTCCCCCCTATGGTGCCTCCCTTGCATCGCTCGCCCCGCTGCTCACCCTCTGCCCGCCCCTTTTCCGTGCCCTCAGCTGGCCCAGCCCCTGCCCGTTGCTGCCCCTCCCCTTGCCCCCTCAACTCCCCTGCCCCCCGTACACCCCAGTCCCATCCAACCGCCCCCACCCTCCCCCGGCTGCCCGTTTCCGCTCTCCACCCCCGCGACCGTGTGCGGCTTCCAACCGCCCAACGGTGGTGCGCACGGGGCGTTTCTTCGCACGGGCAAGCCTCCCCGGGGGGCCCCCACCCCGCTGAGTCGTTGTTTGGGCAAAAAAACGAAAATAAAAAAAAATCGGACGCGCTAAAATCGTCCTTTCTTTTTCCCGCTTGCCCCTCCCCCGGCACGTGCCGAGCAAGGGGCATAAATGGGTACAACACGAGGACTTCCCGGGAGGTCACCCAGCCCAGTACTGCTCTCGCCCACCGGCGCTTAGCTTCGGAGTTCTGATGGGATCCGGCGTAGTAGCCGAGGTATGATCGTACCACGTCAATCCCGTGCCCCGACCGGTACACACCCCTTGCCCGGGTCCCCCCTTCATAGTCACACCCCCTGCCTCCTCATGCCATCCGCTCCCCCCCGCCCCCACCCTCCGCGTGCCCGCTCCCTTGCCGCCTCTTTTGACCCTCCCTGCCCCCCTCGCCGTTTCCCACCGCCCGCCATTCGCTCCTCCCCGCCCGTGCGCTCCCCTCGTTTACCTTCTCCTCCCCCCTCCCCTCCTCTGCTGCACGCCTCTTCCTTCCCCTCGCCGACCCACTCCACTCCCTGCCCCTCCTCAATCCGCACCCTGCCCCTCGTATCTCGCCCCCCTATGCTTGGTTTCTCCCCTCCCTGCCCCTCGCCGCCTTTCTCCGCTCCCCACCTCCCCCCTCTCCCTGCTCCCCCACTCTCCCCCCCTTGCCCTTGGCTTCCTACCTCCCTGCCCCACCTTTCCCCCCTCCGTGTGCTCAGCTTCTCCCCTCCCTGCCCCTCCCTCCTCCCCGCCCTGCCCCTCATTTTCCGCCCCCCCCACGCCCGGTTTCTCCCCTCCCCGCGCCTCCCTTTCTTTCTCCGTGCCTCTCCTTTGCTCCCTCCCTGCCCCCGCCTGCCCATGCCCCTGTCTTTGGCTTCTCCCCTCCCTGCCCCACGTTTCTTCCCTCCCTGCCCCCCCTCTGCCCCTCCCTTGTTTTCCCCTCACCCATTGCTTCTCCCCTCCCTGCCCTTGATTTCCCGCACCCCTGCCCTTGTTTCCTACCATCCATGCCCCTCGTTTCCCCCCTTTGTACGTTCAGCCTCTTCCCTCCCTGCCCCTCCCCTCCTCCCCCCCTGCCCTTTGCGTTCCCCTCGCTACGCTCCCTTCTCCCCATCCCTGCTGCCCTCTTGCCACCATCAGCCCATCCGCACCACCAGCCCCCCTCCCACCCTTCTCTCCCCCCCTCCCTTTCCCTCTCTCTCTCTCTCTCTCTCTCTCTCTTTCTCACACACACACGCACACTCCCCTCCCCCACCCCCCACCCACGTCCTCCCATTCCGCCCCTCCCTGCCCCTTTCCCACCCCCTCGCACGCCCCTCACCTCCCACCTCCGTGCAACTGGTTTCCCCCCTATGGTGCCTCCCTTGCATCGCTCGCCCCGCTGCTCACCCTCTGCCCGCCCCTTTTCCGTGCCCTCAGCTGGCCCAGCCCCTGCCCGTTGCTGCCCCTCCCCTTGCCCCCTCAACTCCCCTGCCCCCCGTACACCCCAGTCCCATCCAACCGCCCCCACCCTCCCCCGGCTGCCCGTTTCCGCTCTCCACCCCCGCGACCGTGTGCGGCTTCCAACCGCCCAACGGTGGTGCGCACGGGGCGTTTCTTCGCACGGGCAAGCCTCCCCGGGGGGCCCCCACCCCGCTGAGTCGTTGTTTGGGCAAAAAAACGAAAAATAAAAAAAAAATCGGACGCGCTAAAATCGTCCTTTCTTTTTCCCGCTTGCCCCTCCCCCGGCACGTGCCGAGCAAGGGGCATAAATGGGTACAACACGAGGACTTCCCGGGAGGTCACCCAGCCCAGTACTGCTCTCGCCCACCGGCGCTTAGCTTCGGAGTTCTGATGGGATCCGGCGTAGTAGCCGAGGTATGATCGTACCACGTCAATCCCGTGCCCCGACCGGTACACACCCCTTGCCCGGGTCCCCCCTTCATAGTCACACCCCCTGCCTCCTCATGCCATCCGCTCCCCCCCGCCCCCACCCTCCGCGTGCCCGCTCCCTTGCCGCCTCTTTTGACCCTCCCTGCCCCCCTCGCCGTTTCCCACCGCCCGCCATTCGCTCCTCCCCGCCCGTGCGCTCCCCTCGTTTACCTTCTCCTCCCCCCTCCCCTCCTCTGCTGCACGCCTCTTCCTTCCCCTCGCCGACCCACTCCACTCCCTGCCCCTCCTCAATCCGCACCCTGCCCCTCGTATCTCGCCCCCCTATGCTTGGTTTCTCCCCTCCCTGCCCCTCGCCGCCTTTCTCCGCTCCCCACCTCCCCCCTCTCCCTGCTCCCCCACTCTCCCCCCCTTGCCCTTGGCTTCCTACCTCCCTGCCCCACCTTTCCCCCCTCCGTGTGCTCAGCTTCTCCCCTCCCTGCCCCTCCCTCCTCCCCGCCCTGCCCCTCATTTTCCGCCCCCCCACGCCCGGTTTCTCCCCTCCCCGCGCCTCCCTTTCTTTCTCCGTGCCTCTCCTTTGCTCCCTCCCTGCCCCCGCCTGCCCATGCCCCTGTCTTTGGCTTCTCCCCTCCCTGCCCCACGTTTCTTCCCTCCCTGCCCCCCCTCTGCCCCTCCCTTGTTTTCCCCTCACCCATTGCTTCTCCCCTCCCTGCCCTTGATTTCCCGCACCCCTGCCCTTGTTTCCTACCATCCATGCCCCTCGTTTCCCCCCTTTGTACGTTCAGCCTCTTCCCTCCCTGCCCCTCCCCTCCTCCCCCCCTGCCCTTTGCGTTCCCCTCGCTACGCTCCCTTCTCCCCATCCCTGCTGCCCTCTTGCCACCATCAGCCCATCCGCACCACCAGCCCCCCTCCCACCCTTCTCTCCCCCCCCTCCCTTTCCCTCTCTCTCTCTCTCTCTCTTTCTCACACACACACGCACACTCCCCTCCCCCACCCCCCACCCACGTCCTCCCATTCTGCCCCTCCCTGCCCCTTTCCCACCCCCTCGCACGCCCCTCACCTCCCACCTCCGTGCAACTGGTTTCCCCCCTATGGTGCCTCCCTTGCATCGCTCGCCCCTCTGCTCACCCTCTGCCCGCCCCTTTTCCGTGCCCTCAGCTGGCCCAGCCCCTGCCCGTTGCTGCCCCTCCCCTTGCCCCCTCAACTCCCCTGCCCCCCGTACACCCCAGTCCCATCCAACCGCCCCCACCCTCCCCCGGCTGCCCGTTTCCGCTCTCCACCCCCGCGACCGTGTGCGGCTTCCAACCGCCCAACGGTGGTGCGCACGGGGCGTTTCTTCGCACGGGCAAGCCTCCCCGGGGGGCCCCCACCCCGCTGAGTCGTTGTTTGGGCAAAAAAACGAAAAATAAAAAAAAAAATCGGACGCGCTAAAATCGTCCTTTCTTTTTCCCGCTTGCCCCTCCCCCGGCACGTGTCGAGCAAGGGGCATAAATGGGTACAACACGAGGACTTCCCGGGAGGTCACCCAGCCCAGTACTGCTCTCGCCCACCGGCGCTTAGCTTCGGAGCTCTGATGGGATCCGGCGTAGTCGCCGAGGTATGATCGTACCACGTCAATCCCGTGCCCCGACCGGTACACACCCCTTGCCCGGGTCCCCCCTTCATAGTCACACCCCCTGCCTCCTCATGCCATCCACTCCCCCCCGCCCCCACCCTCCGCGTGCCCGCTCCCTTGCCGCCTCTTTTGACCCTCCCTGCCCCCCTCGCCGTTTCCCACCGCCCGCCATTCGCTCCTCCCCGCCCGTGCGCTCCCCTCGTTTACCTTCTCCTCCCCCCTCCCCTCCTCTGCTGCACGCCTCTTCCTTCCCCTCGCCGACCCACTCCACTCCCTGCCCCTCCTCAATCCGCACCCTGCCCCTCGTATCTCGCCCCCCTATGCTTGGTTTCTCCCCTCCCTGCCCCTCGCCGCCTTTCTCCGCTCCCCACCTCCCCCCTCTCCCTGCTCCCCCCACTCTCCCCCCCTTGCCCTTGGCTTCCTACCTCCCTGCCCCACCTTTCCCCCCTCCGTGTGCTCAGCTTCTCCCCTCCCTGCCCCTCCCTCCTCCCCGCCCTGCCCCTCATTTTCCGCCCCCCCACGCCCGGTTTCTCCCCTCCCCGCGCCTCCCTTTCTTTCTCCGTGCCTCTCCTTTGCTCCCTCCCTGCCCCCGCCTGCCCATGCCCCTGTCTTTGGCTTCTCCCCTCCCTGCCCCACGTTTCTTCCCTCCCTGCCCCCCCTCTGCCCCTCCCTTGTTTTCCCCTCACCCATTGCTTCTCCCCTCCCTGCCCTTGATTTCCCGCACCCCTGCCCTTGTTTCCTACCATCCATGCCCCTCGTTTCCCCCCTTTGTACGTTCAGCCTCTTCCCTCCCTGCCCCTCCCCTCCTCCCCCCCTGCCCTTTGCGTTCCCCTCGTTACGCTCCCTTCTCCCCATCCCTGCTGCCCTCTTGCCACCATCAGCCCATCCGCACCACCAGCCCCCCTCCCACCCTTCTCTCCCCCCCTCCCTTTCCCTCTCTCTCTCTCTCTCTCTCTCTCTCTCTCTTTCTCACACACACACGCACACTCCCCTCCCCAACCCCCCACCCACGTCCTCCCATTCCGCCCCTCCCTGCCCCTTTCCCACCCCCTCGCACGCCCCTCACCTCCCACCTCCGTGCAACTGGTTTCCCCCCTATGGTGCCTCCCTTGCATCGCTCGCCCCTCTGCTCACCCTCTGCCCGCCCCTTTTCCGTGCCCTCAGCTGGCCCAGCCCCTGCCCGTTGCTGCCCCTCCCCTTGCCCCCTCAACTCCCCTGCCCCCCGTACACCCCAGTCCCATCCAACCGCCCCCACCCTCCCCCGGCTGCCCGTTTCCGCTCTCCACCCCCGCGACCGTGTGCGGCTTCCAACCGCCCAACGGTGGTGCGCACGGGGCGTTTCTTCGCACGGGCAAGCCTCCCCGGGGGGCCCCCACCCCGCTGAGTCGTTGTTTGGGCAAAAAAACGAAAATAAAAAAATCGGACGCGCTAAAATCGTCCTTTCTTTTTCCCGCTTGCCCCTCCCCCGGCACGTGTCGAGCAAGGGGCATAAATGGGTACAACACGAGGACTTCCCGGGAGGTCACCCAGCCCAGTACTGCTCTCGCCCACCGGCGCTTAGCTTCGGAGCTCTGATGGGATCCGGCGTAGTCGCCGAGGTATGATCGTACCACGTCAATCCCGTGCCCCGACCGGTACACACCCCTTGCCCGGGTCCCCCCTTCATAGTCACACCCCCTGCCCCCTCATGCCATCCACTCCCCCCGCCCCCACCCTCCGCGTGCCCGCTCCCTTGCCGCCTCTTTTGACCCTCCCTGCCCCCCTCGCCGTTTCCCACCGCCCGCCATTCGCTCCTCCCCGCCCGTGCGCTCCCCTCGTTTACCTTCTCCTCCCCCCTCCCCTCCTCTGCTGCACGCCTCTTCCTTCCCCTCGCCGACCCACTCCACTCCCTGCCCCTCCTCAATCCACACCCTGCCCCTCGTATCTCGCCCCCCTATGCTTGGTTTCTCCCCTCCCTGCCCCTCGCCGCCTTTCTCCGCTCCCCACCTCCCCCCTCTCCCTGCCCCCCCACTCTCCCCCCCTTGCCCTTGGCTTCCTACCTCCCTGCCCCACCTTTCCCCCCTCCGTGTGCTCAGCTTCTCCCCTCCCTGCCCCTCCCTCCTCCCCGCCCTGCCCCTCATTTTCCGCCCCCCCACGCCCGGTTTCTACCCTCCCCGCGCCTCCCTTTCTTTCTCCGTGCCTCTCCTTTGCTCCCTCCCTGCCCCCGCCTGCCCATGCCCCTGTCTTTGGCTTCTCCCCTCCCTGCCCCACGTTTCTTCTCTCCCTGCCCCCCCTCTGCCCCTCCCTTGTTTTCCCCTCACCCATTGCTTCTCCCCTCCCTGCCCTTGATTTCCCGCACCCCTGCCCTTGTTTCCTACCATCCATGCCCCTCGTTTCCCCCCTTTGTACGTTCAGCCTCTTCCCTCCCTGCCCCTCCCCTCCTCCCCCCCTGCCCTTTGCGTTCCCCTCGTTACGCTACCTTCTCCCCATCCCTGCTGCCCTCTTGCCACCATCAGCCCATCCGCACCACCAGCCCCCCTCCCACCCTTCTCTCCCCCCCTCCCTTTCCCTCTCTCTCTCTCTCTCTCTCTCTCTCTCTTTCTCACACACACACGCACACTCCCCTCCCCCACCCCCCCACCCACGTCCTCCCATTCTGCCCCTCCCTGCCCCTTTCCCACCCCCTCGCACGCCCCTCACCTCCCACCTCCGTGCAACTGGTTTCCCCCCTATGGTGCCTCCCTTGCATCGCTCGCCCCTCTGCTCACCCTCTGCCCGCCCCTTTTCCGTGCCCTCAGCTGGCCCAGCCCCTGCCCGTTGCTGCCCCTCCCCTTGCCCCCTCAACTCCCCTGCCCCCCGTACACCCCAGTCCCATCCAACCGCCCCCACCCTCCCCCGGCTGCCCGTTTCCGCTCTCCACCCCCGCGACCGTGTGCGGCTTCCAACCGCCCAACGGTGGTGCGCACGGGGCGTTTCTTCGCACGGGCAAGCCTCCCCGGGGGGCCCCCACCCCGCTGAGTCGTTGTTTGGGCAAAAAAACGAAAATAAAAAAATCGGACGCGCTAAAATCGTCCTTTCTTTTTCCCGCTTGCCCCTCCCCCGGCACTGTGCCGAGCAAGGGGCATAAATGGGTACAACACGAGGACTTCCCGGGAGGTCACCCAGCCCAGTACTGCTCTCGCCCACCGGCGCTTAGCTTCGGAGCTTCTGATGGGATCCGGCGTAGTAGCCGAGGTATGATCGTACCACGTCAATCCCGTGCCCCGACCGGTACACACCCCTTGCCCGGGTCCCCCCTTCATAGTCACACCCCCTGCCCCCTCATGCCATCCGCTCCCCCCCGCCCCCACCCTCCGCGTGCCCTGCTCCCTTGCCGCCTCTTTTGACCCTCCCTGCCCCCCTCGCCGTTTCCCACCGCCCGCCATTCGCTCCTCCCCGCCCGTGCGCTCCCCTCGTTTACCTTCTCCTCCCCCCTCCCCTCCTCTGCTGCACGCCTCTTCCTTCCCCTCGCCGACCCACTCCACTCCCTGCCCCTCCTCAATCCGCACCCTGCCCCTCGTATCTCGCCCCCCTATGCTTGGTTTCTCCCCTCCCTGCCCCTCGCCGCCTTTCTCCGCTCCCCACCTCCCCCCTCTCCCTGCCCCCCCACTCTCCCCCCCTTGCCCTTGGCTTCCTACCTCCCTGCCCCACCTTTCCCCCCTCCGTGTGCTCAGCTTCTCCCCTCCCTGCCCCTCCCTCCTCCCCGCCCTGCCCCTCATTTTCCGCCCCCCCACGCCCGGTTTCTCCCCTCCCCGCGCCTCCCTTTCCTTCTCCGTGCCTCTCCTTTGCTCCCTCCCTGCCCCCGCCTGCCCATGCCCCTGTCTTTGGCTTCTCCCCTCCCTGCCCCACGTTTCTTCCCTCCCTGCCCCCCCTCTGCCCCTCCCTTGTTTTCCCCTCACCCATTGCTTCTCCCCTCCCTGCCCTTGATTTCCCGCACCCCTGCCCTTGTTTCCTACCATCCATGCCCCTCGTTTCCCCCCTTTGTACGTTCAGCCTCTTCCCTCCCTGCCCCTCCCCTCCTCCCCCCCTGCCCTTTGCGTTCCCCTCGTTACGCTCCCTTCTCCCCATCCCTGCTGCCCTCTTGCCACCATCAGCCCATCCGCACCACCAGCCCCCCTCCCACCCTTCTCTCCCCCCCTCCCTTTCCCTCTCTCTCTCTCTCTCTCTCTCTCTCTCTCTCTCTCTTTCTCACACACACACGCACACTCCCCTCCCCAACCCCCCACCCACGTCCTCCCATTCCGCCCCTCCCTGCCCCTTTCCCACCCCCTCGCACGCCCCTCACCTCCCACCTCCGTGCAACTGGTTTCCCCCCTATGGTGCCTCCCTTGCATCGCTCGCCCCTCTGCTCACCCTCTGCCCGCCCCTTTTCCGTGCCCTCAGCTGGCCCAGCCCCTGCCCGTTGCTGCCCCTCCCCTTGCCCCCTCAACTCCCCTGCCCCCCGTACACCCCAGTCCCATCCAACCGCCCCCACCCTCCCCCGGCTGCCCGTTTCCGCTCTCCACCCCCGCGACCGTGTGCGGCTTCCAACCGCCCAACGGTGGTGCGCACGGGGCGTTTCTTCGCACGGGCAAGCCTCCCCGGGGGGCCCCCACCCCGCTGAGTCGTTGTTTGGGCAAAAAAACGAAAATAAAAAAATCGGACGCGCTAAAATCGTCCTTTCTTTTTCCCGCTTGCCCCTCCCCCGGCACGTGCCGAGCAAGGGGCATAAATGGGTACAACACGAGGACTTCCCGGGAGGTCACCCAGCCCAGTACTGCTCTCGCCCACCGGCGCTTAGCTTCGGAGCTCTGATGGGATCCGGCGTAGTAGCCGAGGTATGATCGTACCACGTCAATCCCGTGCCCCGACCGGTACACACCCCTTGCCCGGGTCCCCCCTTCATAGTCACACCCCCTGCCCCCTCATGCCATCCGCTCCCCCCGCCCCCACCCTCCGCGTGCCTGCTCCCTTGCCGCCTCTTTTGACCCTCCCTGCCCCCCTCGCCGTTTCCCACCGCCCGCCATTCGCTCCTCCCCGCCCGTGCGCTCCCCTCGTTTACCTTCTCCTCCCCCCTCCCCTCCTCTGCTGCACGCCTCTTCCTTCCCCTCGCCGACCCACTCCACTCCCTGCCCCTCCTCAATCCGCACCCTGCCCCTCGTATCTCGCCCCCCTATGCTTGGTTTCTCCCCTCCCTGCCCCTCGCCGCCTTTCTCCGCTCCCCACCTCCCCCCTCTCCCTGCCCCCCCACTCTCCCCCCCTTGCCCTTGGCTTCCTACCTCCCTGCCCCACCTTTCCCCCCTCCGTGTGCTCAGCTTCTCCCCTCCCTGCCCCTCCCTCCTCCCCGCCCTGCCCCTCATTTTCCGCCCCCCCACGCCCGGTTTCTCCCCTCCCCGCGCCTCCCTTTCTTTCTCCGTGCCTCTCCTTTGCTCCCTCCCTGCCCCCGCCTGCCCATGCCCCTGTCTTTGGCTTCTCCCCTCCCTGCCCCACGTTTCTTCCCTCCCTGCCCCCGCTCTGGCCCTCCCTTGTTTTCCCCTCACCCATTGCTTCTCCCCTCCCTGCCCTTGATTTCCCGCACCCCTGCCCTTGTTTCCTACCATCCATGCCCCTCGTTTCCCCCCTTTGTACGTTCAGCCTCTTCCCTCCCTGCCCCTCCCCTCCTCCCCCCCTGCCCTTTGCGTTCCCCTCGTTACGCTCCCTTCTCCCCATCCCTGCTGCCCTCTTGCCACCATCAGCCCATCCGCACCACCAGCCCCCCTCCCACCCTTCTCTCCCCCCCTCCCTTTCCCTATCTCTCTCTCTCTCTCTCTCTCTCTTTCTCACACACACACGCACACTCCCCTCCCCCACCCCCCCACCCACGTCCTCCCATTCCGCCCCTCCCTGCCCCTTTCCCACCCCCTCGCACGCCCCTCACCTCCCACCTCCGTGCAACTGGTTTCCCCCCTATGGTGCCTCCCTTGCATCGCTCGCCCCTCTGCTCACCCTCTGCCCGCCCCTTTTCCGTGCCCTCAGCTGGCCCAGCCCCTGCCCGTTGCTGCCCCTCCCCTTGCCCCCTCAACTCCCCTGCCCCCCGTACACCCCAGTCCCATCCAACCGCCCCCACCCTCCCCCGGCTGCCCGTTTCCGCTCTCCACCCCCGCGACCGTGTGCGGCTTCCAACCGCCCAACGGTGGTGCGCACGGGGCGTTTCTTCGCACGGGCAAGCCTCCCCGGGGGGCCCCCACCCCGCTGAGTCGTTGTTTGGGCAAAAAAACGAAAATAAAAAAATCGGACGCGCTAAAATCGTCCTTTCTTTTTCCCGCTTGCCCTTCCCCCGGCACGTGCCGAGCAAGGGGCATAAATGGGTACAACACGAGGACTTCCCGGGAGGTCACCCAGCCCAGTACTGCTCTCGCCCACCGGCGCTTAGCTTCGGAGCTCTGATGGGATCCGGCGTAGTAGCCGAGGTATGATCGTACCACGTCAATCCCGTGCCCCGACCGGTACACACCCCTTGCCCGGGTCCCCCCTTCATAGTCACACCCCCTGCCCCCTCATGCCATCCGCTCCCCCCGCCCCCACCCTCCGCGTGCCCGCTCCCTTGCCGCCTCTTTTGACCCTCCCTGCCCCCCTCGCCGTTTCCCACCGCCCGCCATTCGCTCCTCCCCGCCCGTGCGCTCCCCTCGTTTACCTTCTCCTCCCCCCTCCCCTCCTCTGCTGCACGCCTCTTCCTTCCCCTCGCCGACCCACTCCACTCCCTGCCCCTCCTCAATCCGCACCCTGCCCCTCGTATCTCGCCCCCCTATGCTTGGTTTCTCCCCTCCCTGCCCCTCGCCGCCTTTCTCCGCTCCCCACCTCCCCCCTCTCCCTGCCCCCCCCACTCTCCCCCCCTTGCCCTTGGCTTCCTACCTCCCTGCCCCACCTTTCCCCCCTCCGTGTGCTCAGCTTCTCCCCTCCCTGCCCCTCCCTCCTCCCCGCCCTGCCCCTCATTTTCCGCCCCCCCACGCCCGGTTTCTCCCCTCCCCGCGCCTCCCTTTCTTTCTCCGTGCCTCTCCTTTGCTCCCTCCCTGCCCCCGCCTGCCCATGCCCCTGTCTTTGGCTTCTCCCCTCCCTGCCCCACGTTTCTTCCCTCCCTGCCCCCCCTCTGCCCCTCCCTTGTTTTCCCCTCACCCATTGCTTCTCCCCTCCCTGCCCTTGATTTCCTGCACCCCTGCCCTTGTTTCCTACCATCCATGCCCCTCGTTTCCCCCCTTTGTACGTTCAGCCTCTTCCCTCCCTGCCCCTCCCCTCCTCCCCCCCTGCCCTTTGCTTTCCCCTCGTTACGCTCCCTTCTCCCCATCCCTGCTGCCCTCTTGCCACCATCAGCCCATCCGCACCACCAGCCCCCCTCCCACCCTTCTCTCCCCCCCTCCCTTTCCCTCTCTCTCTCTCTCTCTCTCTCTCTCTCTCTCTCTCTCTTTCCCCTAGAAAAGAAAAGAAAGAAAAAACATAAAAAACCGGAATAAATAAAACAAAACCAGAGATCCAGCTTACAATTTCTCTCCCCTTTCCCCCCAGGACCGCACCCAGTCCGTCCTCCTCTCTGTTCCAACACACTGCACCACACACTCCCCTTTCTGTCACCCACCGTTACCCCCCCTTTTTCCCCCATTTCCCCATCAGGGCCCCCAGCAGACTTTTCTCCCCCCAGCCCCCGTCTCCCGGCCCTCAGTACCTCCGTGCACGGTCTCCTGCCACCCTTGGTCCCGCTCTGTCCCACCTCCCCCCTCCCCTCCCAGCTTCTCCCTATCACCACCCTCATGTTCCCCCACTTCCCTGCCCACACCATACCTCCTCCACCCCCCCTCCCGCAAGTCCCCACTTCCATTTTGCCCCCCACACCTCTACGAGCCGTACTTCCCCCTCCAGCCCCCCTTTCCCCCCCAGGTGCGCCCATATCCTGCGTGGGCTGCACCTCTGCATCCCGCCCTGCCAGGCCCTTCGGTGACCCACCTGCCGCCACCTGGCACCACACCGCCCTTCCCACCCCCATCCAATCTCTACACCCCCTGCCCCTGCCCCCTGTGCACTCCAGCCACCTACCCCAGCCTCCCTCTACCTTTCCCTGGCACCACACCGCCCTTCCTACCCCTAGCCAAGGTCTACGCCCCTTGCCTCTGCTCCCTGCGCTGTGCCGTCCCCAACCTCCCTCCGCCTCACCTCGGCACCAGACCGCCTCTCCCTCCCCCAGCCAACCTCTGCACCCCCTGTTCCTGCCCCTTGTGCCTTCCAACACCCTACCCCAACCCCCCCCAGTCTCCCCCTTCTCCAGCAGCCATATTTCCTCCCCCCTGGGGCTCGCCCATCCGCTATTATCACCCTTCATCGATTCCCCAATTCCCTCTGTCCCCTGTTTCCCGGCCCCGCATTCTATTTTGCATTTACCACAGCGCCTCCTTTCGGTGCCCTCTCTGCTCTCCCACGTTCTCACCCCCCGGCCCCCAACCTTCTCTTTACCCGCTACCAGGCTCACGCCAACTCGACTACCCACTACCCTTTGCCCCTTCCTCTCTGTTCCCCACCCTTCCTCCCCCACTTTGCTCCACCTGCCCACCCCCACCTCCCGTTGAATTCTGTCCCGCCCTCCCCACCTCTGGCCCACCACCTTTCCCCACACCCTGCTCACCCACCGCTACATCGCCCCCGCTCCCCCACCTCCACTACAGCCCGCCAACACTTCCCCTCTCAACCGGCCCCCAGCCCGCCCCCCCCTTGGGCCCCCATCCCCTCCAACTGTCAGGCCCCCTCTACCCTCTCTTCCACCCACTGCGCACCGCTTTCCCCACCCTTTTCCCTTTTTCCCAAGCTAACCCCCCGCACCCCGGCCTCTGCCAGGGAGTTTCTTCCCCCTTTGACGCCCTCTTGAGCCAACTCCAGCAACTCACACCGCCACCGCCAGGCATGCTGCCTCTGTAACAATGCCCCAGCACCCCGCGAGTGGGGGAAAGGCAGACCCGGGAGCCCCTCGGCGATCTGGGAGGTCCCGCAGCCGAGCCACCCCCTACACATCCACCCCCCCCACTTCAACAGTCAGGAAGAAACAACACACACCCGACCAAGCGAAAACACTCACACAATCTGACCCTAGGGGCCAGAAGCGTACCCTTGAAGAGGATGGAACAGAGGAACGCCAAGCCCCACTGGAGGAAATACACGAGGAGGAGCCAGCACGCTCAAAACCGCGCCCTAACCCCGCTGCCCCATCCCAGCCTACCCCCCCTCCAGGTGACAGCGGGGGCAGCACCCGTACATGCTCAGTGGAGAGATCCTCCAACTCACTCACTACCTCCCATTGTCAAACCAAAATACTTGTGAAACCACATAATCCTACCCGCACCCCCAAGCACATAGAAGTGGGAGAGGGCAGGGCCGGGGGGGAACCTGCAGCAGACACTACACGGGAAGGAGTAAGTGAGTCTGTAGTGGAAGGAGCAGCAGAGGCTGCAGAGGACGGGGCAGCAAAGGCTGCACGGGAAGGGGCAAGGGAGATTGTGGGGGAAGGGGCAGCAGAGGCTGCAGAGGAAAGGGCAGCAGAGGCTGCAGAGGAAAGGGCAGCAGAGGCTGCAATGGAAGGGGCAGCAGAGGCTGCACAGGAAGGGGCGGCAGGGGGCGTGACTTTGGCCAGGCAAAGGGCAGAGGCCATGGAGACAGGTTTTGCAGAAGAAGGGCCCACAGGACCCGCTGCTGATTCGGCTGGGGGAACCGCAGCAGGGGAGGCTATAGGGACCGCATCAGGTGAGGCCGCACAGACCGCAGCAGGTGAGGCTGCAGGGACCACAGCGGGTGAGGCTGCAGGAGGGACCATGGCAGGTGAGGCCGCAAGGACCGCAGCAGGTGAGGCTGCAGGGGCCGCAGCAGGTGAGGCTGCAGGGGCCGCAGCAGGTGAGGCTGAGCAGATTCTAGCAGGTGAGGCTGCACAGACTACAGCAGGTGAGGCCGCAAGGTCTGCAGCAGGTGAGGCCACAGGGACTGCAGCAGGTGAGGCTGCAGGGACCGCGGCAGGTGAGGCTGCAGGGACTGCGGCAGGTGAGGCTGCAGGGACTGCAGCAGGTGAGGCTGCAGGGACTGCAGCAGGTGAGGCCGCAGGGACTGCAGGTGAGGCTGCAGGGACTGCAGCAGGTGAGGCTGCAGGGACCACAGGGGGTGAGGCTGCAGGAGGGACCATGGCAGGTGAGGCCGCAGGGAGCGCAGCAGGTGAGATTGCAAGGGCCGCAGCAGGTGAGGCTGCAGGGGCCGCAGCATGTGAGGTTGAGCAGATTCTAGCAGGTGAGGCTGCACAGACTACAGCAGGTGAGGCCGCAGGGACTGCACCAGGTGAGGCTGCAGGGACTGCGGCAGGTGAGGCTGCAGGGACCGCGGCAGGCGAGGTTGGGCAGATTCCGATAGGCGAGGCTTCACAGACTGCAGCAGGTGAGGCTTCACAGACTGCAGCAGGAGCGACAGGGGCCACAGTGGGGGCTGGTACAGGGGGAGGTGCTACGGGGGCTGCAGCGGGGAAGGGGGTAACGGGGATTGGTGCGAGGGAGAGTGCCGCCCCGGCTGTAGCAAGAGAAGGTGCGGCAAGGGCTGGAGTGGGAGAGGGGACTGCAGAGGCCTCAAAGGCAGAAGGTGAGGCTGCAGCTGAAGCAGCAGGGAGGGCCATAGCACGGCCAGTAGGGGCGGCAGGCGCCGCAGCAAGCGCGGTGAAGCACACAGCAGGGCCGGCAGAGACTGCAGAAGGGGCTAGCAGTAAAGCGGCAGCAGGTGGGGTGGGCTCGGGGGACATAGGGGCAACAGGGGGAGGAGAGGCGAGCGAGGTCCCAACCGGAGGGACCACTGAAGGGGGGGATGTGATAGTGATAGAGGAGGATGAGGTAGAGGACGTGATGCACATCGACGGGCCACTGGCCCAATACCTCACGCTTGACGGTGAGGCTGACTCGGCCCCCCTGCTGCCTCAGGCCGAGGTTCCCCCTCTCCCCCCCAGGCCCGACCCCATGCTAGCAGATGGACCGATGGAGGGGCGGGAGGAGACTTTGCGGACAGAACCTCGCGAGGGAGACCCCATCCTTACCCCCCGTCCCCCAGCCCACCACCCCCCGGGAGCACCACTTCCCCACCCCCACCCTCAGGTCCCTGTAGCATCCAGGGGGGCAGCCAAGGCCCTGGCCTTCTTGGCGGAGCCGTGCTCCCCGACCCCCACGCTGTTCCATGGCCAGCCCCCCTCTCTGTCCCCAACGGCTGACCCCACGGTTACAGGCGGTCCACCGGGAGAGCGCGCGGGTGCGACAAGGGCAGAGCCACCCGAGGGCACCCCTTCTCTCACCTCTCACCCCTCCCTGCCCCTCCCTTCACTCCTTCCTTCCCCCCCAAGGGCAGCAAACCTCTGCCCCCACCCTCAGGGGCTCCCCCGAGCACCACGTGGAGCAGCCAGGGCTCTGGCCTTCCTAGAGGAGCCATGCTCCCCGACTCCTACCAACACCCAGCCACCCCCTTCCGGCCCACTACCCCCCCCTCCACCAGGCCCTCCCCCACCCGGTAGTAGACACATCTCGGAGGTTGAAGCATCTGCGCGGTCAAATCTCTCTCCCACACGCTACATGCACCCCAACCACCCGAGTTGCCGCACAGCCCCAACACGCTCACCCAACGGGCTGCCCTCCTCACACCACCCCCCCCAGGCAGCCGAGACCCACCCGCAAGGGCTTGTGCCCCAGGCTCATGGAAGCAACGGCACCCTGGTGGAGGGGCCCACAGAAGAGGCCACCACAGAGCCCACACAAACCTCTCTCCCCCCACCGCTTGTACCTCGCTCTAACCTCCACACTGGCCCAACGCCTCGACCACCCCCTCCAACCCCCTCTCCCGGCCGGGTTCCCCACGAGTGGCCACGTTGGGCAGCCATCATCCCCCACGCACAGCCCACCCGATCTGTTCCCACGGAGGGTGATATTTCGAGGAGAGAGGGGATGCACACAGAGCACCCCCCGCCTGGCGAACCACCCATCCTCCCCCCACCCACCCCTTTGGCCCCACAGCCCCCCCTTCCTCCACAAATAGGCACGGACAACCAGGTTGGCCGCCGGCGGAAGAACAAGGGCAGAGGAGGCAGAGGGTCAGCCCCCGTACTCCCCCCTCCCTCCCTCCCCCACCAGGAGCCCCTCCCCACCCCACATCCCGCTGAACCCTTACCAGGCCCTACCCCTACAGGCCGACCACCAAACTTACACTCCCGTCCCGCACCTGCACCTCCACAGGGCCATGGGAGCGGACCAGCCCACTCACCCCCGGGCCGCCTCTCCCTTGCTCTACCCCCCCCCCAGGTGGTGGCGGCGGCCGCGAGCCCTGCCGGGATGGTGGCCGACGGGTTGAGGGATGCGCCCATGGCAGACGCCACCGACTCCCCCTCCCATCCCTCCCACCCCTTCCATGTCGACGACCCCCTACCGCAACCCATGGTGATTGGGGAGGGCCAAGGGGGCCTTCTAGGGCAGGGTCCACACCCGAGCTCTGCTCAGCCAGTACGCCCCACCCCACCCTCTACCCTGCCAGCCCTCCTACTCTCACCTACAGACAGGCAGGTTATCAGGACCCCAGAGGAGGTGAGGGCTGGCATCTCAGATCTGCTGGCGATACAGCACCCGAGCAGCTCCCCGGCTGCCCCCACCCTACCAGCCCCACAGGTCCGGATCCGGACGTATGCGGAGGTCACACGTTCTGTCCCTTCTTTTATCCCCTCCGCTACTGAGCCAGGCGCGTCACTCCCGTCCCCAATGGAGACGGACCTGGTTCTGAGGCCGGGTCACTCGCACCTAGACGGGGTGGCGCCTCCCCCCGTTCAGCCCGGGGCGCAGGAGGTCACCAGCATTAGGGATGAGGCGCCCGCCCCTGCCGAGACCCCTGCAGAGCCGCCACTTGGACCGCACCCCGCCGAGGGGCAGGGGCACACCACGGCACACACTTCAGGCTCACCTCCACATCCCCCCTCCTTAGCTTCGAGACCGGTACCAGCAGGAGGCCCGGCCCCATCCTGTGTGGCACCTCCTCTATCTTCTCCGACACCCCCCCTGCGCGGGGCAGGTGAGTCGTCTCCTCCCCTCATCCCAGGCGATCCTCTTGGAGCTCAGGCCGCCCATGGGGCCCCCTCTACAGCCAGTTCCGACGCCACGGCCCCGATTGACCCCGCCGACACGGCGACATCACCCGACCAGGTCGTGAGTTGCCCCACCTGCAGGAGCTCTCTCGCGAACCGACGCGCGCTCCAGCACCACACTCCCTTCTGCCATCCGGCGGACGCAGCTCGCAGGGCACAGGCCGTCCATGACGCCACCTCGATCCTCCCTTCCCTCTCACAGCCCCGTGCGACTGGGATACAGTTCACTGACGCACAGTGGCAGACGCTCGACTCGGTGGACTGGACAGAGTACTTCTCGTCCGAGCGTATCCATGCACGCCCTCTCCGGCGTGTCCCGGAGAGGGTCCCCGGAGGATATCTCGACGTTCTCAGTGCGATCCTAGTCCGCATTGCCCAGAACCCGGAGGCTGCTGGCCCTACCTTCCTCCTCGCTGTGGCGCCGACCCTTTTCCTCGCTCCAGCGACGCCACCCGACCGCTCGCACACGGCTGCCATTGCAACGCGCATCTCCCGCTTTGGTCGAGGTGAGTGGGATGAGCTACTCTCAGATGCACTAGGCCGCCGCACACCCCTCCCTCGACGCACAGGTCACCGGTCACGCACCGCCACCGATCCCTCCACAGCAGATGAGCGCCGCATTGCACGTTGCCTTCGTCTGGCGGCGTGCAATGAGACCTCTCGGGCCTGTGCGGCTCTTGAGTCCGCGGAGGCAGCCCCAGATACACAAGGGACGATACAGCGCCTGCGGTCGAAGCACCCCAACACGGAGAGGCCGACCCCAGCTTGGCTGTCTGGCTTCCAGGGGTCTGCTCTTGTGCTCTCGGTGGATCACTTACGACGCGCGATCTTCACAGCACCGCGTGGCTCTTCCGGAGGACCGTCCGGTTGGGTTGCTGAGCATCTTCGAGACACTTTCTTGGCTTTCCCTCAGAGTCTCCATTTCCTCCTGGCTGTGTACCAGCAGTGGCTCCGAGGCCGTTGCGCGCCATCTGCACGCTCCCTGCTAGCGTCCTCCACCCTCGTGGCTTTGGCGAAGTCGAACATGGATGTTCGGCCGATTGCCATCGGCGAGGTGTTGGTCCGCATTCTTTCACGAGCAGTCTGTCTCCAGCTCCGGGACCAGATGGCGAGAGTCTTCCTTGCGTCACAGTAGTTTGGGGTGGGGGTGACGTGCGGGACAGAGGTCGTAGTTAGAGGCGTCCGCCGTGCTCTGGCTGACCACCCAGACTGGGTGGTCCTGCAGCTAGACGTGGCGAATGCTTTTAACTCTTTTCACCGAGACAGGATGTTTCAGGCGCTGCAGGCCAGTCCGGAGTTTCAGTGTCTGATCCCCTTCATCGGCCTCTTCTACGGGACGCCCTCAGATCTCCACTACAGGTCAGGTACGGGAGTGGTCACGATGCACTCGGAGCGTGGCACTCGCGAGGGAGACCCCCTCAGCCCCTTCTTGTACGCTCTGACACAGCGCCTTGCCTTGGAGCCGGTTCTGTCGGAGGGGGATGTCCAGCTCTGGTCGTACGCAGATGACACGTACGTGCTAGGTCCTCCAGACAGGGTGCTACACCACTTCGCCGAGATCGTGAGGCGCTTGGGCGAGATGGGCCTTGCGGTCCAATCGCACAAGTGCCTCGTCTACCAGACAGAGTCCTTCCTGTCCAGGGATTTGGGGGCTTTCACGGGCCTAGGGATCGAGGTCGCACGCCGAGGGCTCACCGTGACAGGCGTACCGGTGGGCACCGTTTCGTTCGTGGAGCAGAGTCTCCCAGATCGTCTCGAGAGGATGGGGCGGGTGCTACCTTGGCTTCCGAGGTTGCGCCAGCCCCAGACAGCTGCTCGCCTTCTTTCGGCATGTGTCAGCACTCGCCCGCAGTACCTGTCGAGGACCGTCCCTCCCTCGCCCGCAGTGATCTCCAGTTTTACACGGTGGGACGCACGCCTGTGAGAGACTTTTCAGCAGCTTTTAGCGTCAGGGACCTGGGCTTGTCGTGAGGACGTCCGAGAGGCCGCCCTAGACCAGATCTTCCTCCCCATCCGTCTCGGGGGTTTCGGCATTCGGCGCATGGCGCGCATTGCCCCGGTGAGTTTCGTGTGCTCTTGGGTGCAGTGTGCACCCATTCTCTATTCTCTCCCTGCGTGTGGCGAGGTGTTTCGGCAGAGCTTCGCTTCTGGTGAGCCAGAGCAGATCGACCGGGCTCTGCAGACGGCGCTAGAGGGTCTCCCACCTGACGTTCTCCCTCTCCTTCCCTCCTGGCCCTCTTGCGCTTCTGCCTCCCCTGATTCCCTTTTTGCAGGAGCGAGCCGCCTTCTGGAGGCGCATGCCTTGGAGGCCGTGCGTGCCCGTCACACCTCTCCCTTGCACCTTGCCCGTTTGACTTCCCTTCAGGGCGGAGGTGCAGGAGCGTGGTTGACGTCGGTGCCGTACGCCGATCCACTGCGCATCCCGGAGGCGCTGTGGCAGGTGGCGTCATCATCTCGTCTTGGTCTCCCTATCCCCCAGCTAGCCCTTGCAGGTCAGTGCTCCTGTGGACAGGCGATCGACGACATGACGGTGCCTCATCACGCGGTTCGGTGCCCACGTTTCGGCGTCGCCACGACCATCCACGACACGGTGAAGTACATGCTTCGAGATTTCGCGGTCGAGGCGGGCTTCGCGGTGAAGGTGGAGGACACCACGCTGTTTACACAGTTGGAGGCGGCTCGGGCGAGACTGCAGGGACAGCCGGTGGTGGGGGAGGAGACACGGGTTGAGGGACCGCTGGAGAAGAGGGGCGAGGCGGGACAGCCGGGCAGCGGGAGGCAGTCGGGACAGCATCAGCTGCGGGGTCGGGTGGCGCGAGGGGCAGGCGGGCAGAGGGGAGGGCAGGGGGAGCAGACGGGCCAGGACGTGGAAGGGGGACAGCAGGGGCAGCAGCAGGAGAGCCAGCGGGGGCCGCGGGCCCAGGGCGTCGCACCTCCGGGTGTGGGCTCGGGGGTGGGGCAGGGGCGAGAGCAGCAGAGAGCGAACGGAGGTACAGTGGGGGGAGCGGGATCGGGAGGGGAGGACCAGGGAGTGGGAGAGGCAGCAGGGGATCGAGCAGGGGGGTTGGGAGGGTTGGAGGAGGGTAGAGAGGGGGAGAGGAGAGGACAGGTGGGTGGAGGAGAGGAGAGGGGGAGAGAGACGACCGGAGAGGAGGCACCGAGGGACCAGACAGGGCAGCAGCCAGCGCAGCAGCAGGGACCAGTCGGACGCACAGGCCGGGTAGGCACCTCCTCCCGCATCCCAGACCTCACCTGCCGCGAAGTTGGGCAGAGTTTGATGGTTCTTGTGGATGTCTCCATAGCGGATCCACAGCGGGAGGGGAACGTCCAGCTGAGACGGGCGACCCCCACACAGATTGGAGTGGCAGCAGCTAGGCGGGTGCAGGAGAAGCTGCGTCACTGGGGGCCGCACTTAGAGGGTTTGCAGCCGGCACCACACTTTTACGCGTGCGTGGCGGAGACTTTTGGCCTTCTGAGCGAGCCGCTGCGTTAGTTTTTGGGGCTCTGCGCAAAGAGGATAGCACAGCGGAGGAGGGATAGGGGTGGGGGGGATGACGGATCAGCACGGATATTTGAGGCAGGACTCACTACACGCCTCTCCGTGGCACTGCAGCGCGCGCAGGCTCAATGCATCATCCAGCATGCGGTGCGGCAGTTGGGGGGATCCGACGACGGGTGGATGCCCGCACCAGTCCCACTGAGTGCGGGGCAGGGTACTTGGCACCACGTCACAGGGTGCTTCGAGAGTGTGGCTGACATGCAATATATATATGATGCATATGTGTAAAAAACAATAGTGGCTGTGCTTGAAACGCTGTGCCTGCGCTGTTGGGCAGGTTGCTGCTGTGTTTGGTCCCTTGGTGCTTCCTCCTCAGTCTCTCTCCCTATCTCCTCTTCTCTTCCCACCTCCCTTTTCCTTTCCCCTTCTTCTATCCTTCTCTTCTCTTCCTTCCCCTCTCTTCTTTTCCCTACTACCTCTTCTTACTCCTTGATCTTTTCTTCTTCTTCTTTCTTTCCCCTCTTTCCTACAAAATATATATACCGTCCTCATAGCGAATGAGTCATGCCGAAATTGCCTATTCTTGGAAAACCCACCATATTCGGCTTGTATTTGCTCTTCCCCTATTAATAAATAACTGCTCTCGCCCACCGGCGCTTAGCTTCGGAGTTCTGATGGGATCCGGCGTAGTAGCCGAGGTATGATCGTACCACGTCAATCCTGTGCCCCGACCGGTACACACCCCTTGCCCGGGTCCCCCCTTCATAGTCACACCCCCTGCCCCCTCATGCCATCCGCTCCCCCCGCCCCCACCCTCCGCGTGCCCGCTCCCTTGCCGCCTCTTTTGACCCTCCCTGCCCCCCTCGCCGTTTCCCACCGCCCGCCATTCGCTCCTCCCCGCCCGTGCGCTCCCCTCGTTTACCTTCTCCTCCCCCCTCCCCTCCTCTGCTGCACGCCTCTTCCTTCCCCTCGCCGACCCACTCCACTCCCTGCCCCTCCTCAATCCGCACCCTGCCCCTCGTATCTCGCCCCCCTATGCTTGGTTTCTCCCCTCCCTGCCCCTCGCCGCCTTTCTCCGCTCCCCACCTCCCCCCTCTCCCTGCCCCCCCACTCTCCCCCCCTTGCCCTTGGCTTCCTACCTCCCTGCCCCACCTTTCCCCCCTCCGTGTGCTCAGCTTCTCCCCTCCCTGCCCCTCCCTCCTCCCCGCCCTGCCCCTCATTTTCCGCCCCCCCACGCCCGGTTTCTCCCCTCCCCGCGCCTCCCTTTCTTTCTCCGTGCCTCTCCTTTGCTCCCTCCCTGCCCCCGCCTGCCCATGCCCCTGTCTTTGGCTTCTCCCCTCCCTGCCCCACGTTTCTTCCCTCCCTGCCCCCCCTCTGCCCCTCCCTTGTTTTCCCCTCACCCATTGCTTCTCCCCTCCCTGCCCTTGATTTCCCGCACCCCTGCCCTTGTTTCCTACCATCCATGCCCCTCGTTTCCCCCCTTTGTACGTTCAGCCTCTTCCCTCCCTGCCCCTCCCCTCCTCCCCCCCTGCCCTTTGCTTTCCCCTCGTTACGCTCCCTTCTTCCCATCCCTGTTGCCCTCTTGCCACCATCAGCCCATCCGCACCAGCAGCCCCCCTCCCACCCTTGTCTCCCCCCCCCCCTTTCCCTCTCTCTCTCTCTCTCTCTCTCTCTCTCTCTCTTTCTCACACACACACGCACACTCCCCTCCCCCACCCCCCACCCACATCCTCCCATTCTGTCCCTCCCTGCCCCTTTCCCACCCCCTTTTACGTCCCTCACCTCCCACCTCCGTGCAACTGGTTTCCCCCCTATGGTGCCTCCCTTGCATCGCTCGCCCCTCTGCTCACCCTCTGCCCGCCCCTTTTCCGTGCCCTCAGCTGGCCCAGCCCCTGCCCGTTGCTGCCCCTCCCCTTGCCCCCTCAACTCCCCTGCCCCCCGTACACCCCAGTCCCATCCAACCGCCCCCACCCTCCCCCGGCTGCCCGTTTCCGCTCTCCACCCCCGCGACCGTGTGCGGCTTCCAACCGCCCAACGGTGGTGCGCACGGGGCGTTTCTTCGCACGGGCAAGCCTCCCCGGGGGGCCCCCACCCCGCTGAGTCGTTGTTTGGGCAAAAAAACGAAAATAAAAAAATCGGACGCGCTAAAATCGTCCTTTCTTTTTCCTGCTTGCCCCTCCCCTGGCACGTGCCGAGCAAGGGGCATCAATGGGTACAACACGAGGACTTCCCTGGAGGTCACCCAGCCCAGTACTGCTCTCGCCCACCAGTGCTTAGCTTCGGAGTTCTGATGGGATCCGGCGTAGTAGCCGAGGTATGATCGTACAACGTCAATCCCGATCCCCGACCGGTACACACCCCTTGCCCGGGTCCCCCCTTCATAGTCACACCCCCTGCCCCCTCATGCCATCCGCTCCCCCCGCCCCTACCCTCCGCGTGCCCGCTCCCTTGCCGCCTCTTTTGACCCTCCCTCCCCCCTCAGCTCGCACCTCGCTCTTACCTCCAGGCCGCTCTAGCGCCTCGGCCCCCACCCACAACCCCCGCGCACGGCCCGGTTCCTCACGAATGGCCCCGATGGGCAGCCATCGGTCCCTTCGTGCAGCCCGCCGAGCATGGCGGGGCCATGAGGAGGGGAGGGTTACACACGGAGCTCCCCCCCCCTCACCAACCACCCATGCTCCCCCCACCCACCCCCTTGGCTCCTCAGTCCCCTCTTCCTTCACACCCGGGCAGGGACAACGAAAACCAAGCCGGCCGGCGGCGGAAGAACAAAGGCAAAGGAGGCAAAGGGCCAGCTCACCTACTCCCCCCTCTCTCCACTCCCCTACAGGCGCCCCCCCCCCTTCCTCACATCCCCCTCAAACTACACCAAGTCCCACACCGGCAGGCCAACAACCTAACTCACACTCCCCTCCCGTGTTTGCCCCTCCATAGGGCCACGGGAATGAATCCGCCCACTCACTCTTAGGCCACCTCTCCCTTCCTCTGAACCCGGCCCAGGTGGCGGCAACGGCGTACGCTGCCGGTATGGGGTCCGAGGAGATGAGGGACGAGCCCATGAGTGACTCCACCGACTCTTCTTCGCATACCTCCCACCCCATTCGAGTCGACGGCCCCCTACCGCAACCCATGGTCACCGAGGAGGGCCGAGGGGGCTCTCTAGCGCAAGGACCACACCCGGGCTCCGCTCAGCCAGCACGCCCCACCCCACCCTCTGCCCTGCCACCCCTCTTACCTTCATTAGCAGGCAGGCATGTTGCTGGGACCCCACAGGAGGTGAGGGCTGCCATTTCGGACCTGCTAGCGATACAGAGCCCTAGCAGCACCCCAGCTGCCCCCACCCTACCAGTCCCAGAGGTCCAGAGACGGACATATGCGGAGGTCACTCGCTCGGTCGCTTCTTTCACCCCCCCCACTTCTCAGCCAGGCTCGTCACTCCCATCCCCGATGGAGACGGACCTGGTTCTGAGGTCGTGTCACTCGCACCCAGATGTAGTGGCGCCTTCCCCCATTCAGCATGTTGCTGACACACTTCCAGTGGCGCAGGAGGGCACCAGCACCAGGTATGAGTCACCCGCCCCTACAGATGCCCCTCCGTCACCCACCTCTACATCCCTCCTCCAGGGCCCCTGGGCTGGTACCGCCACGAGGCCCGGCCCCGTCACTGAACCCTCCTCTTTTACCAGTGCCACCAGCCCCACTTGTGAAGGCTCCCCACAGTCGTGGTGCACCCGTTTCTACTCCCACCGTGGACGCCCCCCCACAGGTCCCTCCGGTTGACGACCTCCCTTCCACGGCTAGCTCCGATGGCACCACCCCACCCGACCCCGCCGATACGGCCACGTCACCGGACCAGCCCATCACATGCACTACCTGCCAGAGCACCCTGGCAAGCACCCGAGCACCCAGGCACCACACACCCTTCTGCCACCCAGCGGATGCAGCTCGCCGGGCACAGGCCGTCCATGACACCACCTCGATTCTCCCTTCTCTCTCACAGCCCCGAGCGACCGGGATACAGTTCACAGACGCACAGTGGCAGACGCTCGACTCGGTGGACTGGACAGAGTACTTCTCGCCCGAGCGTATTCATGCACGCCCTCTCCGGCGTATCCCGGAGAGGGTCTGCGGAGGATATCTCGACGTTCTCAGTGCGATCTTAGCCTGCATTGCCCAGGACCCGGAGGCTGCTGGCCCTACCTTCCTTCTCGCGGCAGCGCCGACCCTTTTCCTCGCTCCGGCGACGCCACCCGACCGCTCGCACACGACCGCCATTGCCACACGCATCTCCCGCTTTGGTCGAGGTGAGTGGGCTGAGCTACTCTCAGATGCACTAGGTCGTCGCACACCCCTACCTCAGCGCACAGGTCTCCGATCACACACCGCCACCGATTCCTCTACAGCAGATGAGCGCCGCATTGCACGTTGCCTTTGCTTGGTGGCGTGCAATGAGACCTCACGGGCATGCGTGGCTCTCGAGTCCACGGAGGCAGCCCCAGATACACAGGGGACGATACAGCGCCTGCAGTCGAAGCACCCCAACGCGGAGAGGCCGACCCCAGCTTGGCTGTCGGGCTTCCAGGGGTCTGCTCTCGTGCTCTCGATGGATCACTTACGTCGCGCGATTTTCACAGCTCCGCGGGGCTCTTCGGGAGGACCGTCCGGTTGGGTCGCCGAGCACCTTCGAGACACTTTCCTAGCTTTCCCTCAGAGTCTCCATTTTCTCTTGGCTGTGTACCAGCAGTGGCTTCGAGGTCGTTGCGCTCCAGCTGCGCGCTCCTTGCTAGCATCCTCAACCCTCATGGCTCTGGCGAAGTCGAACATGGATGTTCGGCCGATTGCCATTGGCGAGGTTTTGGTCCGCATTCTTTCGCGTGCAGTCTGTCTCCAGCTACGTGACCAGATGGCAAGGGTCTTCTTGGCATCACAGCAGTTTGGGGTGGGGGTTACGTGCGGGACAGAGGTCGTAGTTAGAGGCGTCCGCCGCGCTCTGGCTGACCACCCAGACTGGGTGGTCCTGGAGCTAGACGTGGCGAATGCCTTTAACTCTTTCCACCGAGACAGGGTCTTCCAGGCTCTGCAGGCCAGTCTGGAGTTCCAGTGTCTGATCCCCTTCATCGGCCTCTTCTACGGGACGCCCTCGGACCTCCACTACAGGTCAGGTACGGGAGTGGTCACGATGCACTCGGAGCGTGACACTCGTCACGGAGACCCCCTCAGTCCCTTCTTGTACGCTCTGACACAGCGCCTTGCCTTGGAGCCAGTTCTGACGGAGGGGGGTGTCCAGCTCTGGTCGTACGCCGATGACACATACGTGCTAGGCCCCCCAGACAGGGTGCTACACCACTTCACCGAGATCGTGAGGCGCTTGGGCGAGATTGGCCTTGCGGTCCAGTCGCACAAGTGCCTCGTCTACCAGACGGATTCTTTTCTTTCCAGGGATTTGGAGGCTTTCACGAGCCTAGGGATCGAGGTCGCACGCCGAGGGCTCACCGTGACAGGCGTACCGGTGGGCACCGTTTCGTTTGTGGAGCAAAGTCTCCCGGATCGTCTCGAGAGGGTGGGGAGGGTGCTACCTTGGCTCCCGAGGTTGCGCCAGCCCCAGACAGCTGCTCGCCTTCTCTCGGCATGTGTCAGCACTCGTCCGCAGTACCTGTCGAGGACCGTCCATCTCTCGCCCGCAGTGATCTCCAGTTTACACGATGGGATGCACGCCTGGGAGAGACTTTTCAGCAGCTTTTAGCCTCAGGGACCTGGGCTTGTCGCGAGGACGTCCGAGAGGCCGTCCTAGACCAGATCTTCCTCCCCATTTGTCTCGGGGGTTTCGGCATTCGTCGCATGGCGCGCATTGCCCCGGTGAGTTTCGTGTGCTCCTGGGTGCAGTGTGCACCCATTCTCTGTTCTCTCCCTGCGTGTGGCGAGGTGTTTCGGCAGAGCTTTGCTTCAGGTGAGCCAGAGCAGATCAACTGGGCTCTACAGACGGCGCTAGAGGGTCTCCCACCTGACGTTCTCTCTCTCCTTCCCTCTTGGCCCTCTTGCGCTTCTGCCTCCCCTGATTCCCTTTTTGCAGAAGTGAGCCGCCTTCTGTAGGCGCATGCTTAGGAGGCCGTGCGTGCCCGTCACACCTCTCCCTTGCACCTTGCCCGTTTGACTTCCCTTCAGGGCGGAGGTGCAGGAGCGTGGTTGACGTCGGTGCCGTACGCCGATCCATTGCGCATCCCGGAGGCGCAGTGGCACGTGGCTTCCTCATCCCGTCTTGGTCTCCCGATCCCCCAGTTAGCCCTTGCAGGTCAGTGCTCCTGTGGACAGGCGATCGACGACATGACTGTTCCTCATCACGCGGTTCGGTGCCCACGTTTCGGCGTCGCCACTACCATCCACGACATGGTGAAGTTCATGCTTCGAGACTTCGCGGTCGAGGCGGGCTTCGCGGTGAAGGTGGAGGACACCACGCTGTTCACACAGTTGGAGGCGGCTCAAGCGAGACTGCAGGGACAGCCGGTGCTAGGAGAGGGGACACGGGCTGAGGGTCCGTGGGAGCAGAGGGGCGAGGCGGGAGAGCCGGGTGGAGGGGGGCAGTGGGGACAGCATCAGCTGCGGGGTCGGGTGGCGTGAGGGGCAGGTGGGCAGAGGGGACGACAGGGGGAGCAGACGGGCCAGGACGTGGAGGGGGGACAGCAGGGGCAGCAGCAGGAGAGCCAGCGGAGGCCGCGGGCCAAGGGCGTCGCATCTCCGGGGGTGGGCTCGAGGGTGGAGCAGGGGCGAGAGCAGCAGAGAGCGGACGGAGGTACAGGGGGGGGAGCGGGATCGGGAGGGGAGGACCAGGGAGTGAGAGAGGCAGCAGGGGATCGAGCAGGGGGGTTGGGAGGGTTGGGGGAGGGTAGAGAGGGGGAGGGGAGAGGACAGGTGGGTAGAGGAGAGGAGAGGGGGAGAGAGACGATCGGAGAGGGGGCACCGAGGGACCAGACAGGGCAGCAGCCAGCGCAGCAGCAGGGACCAGTCGGACTCACAGGCCATGTGGGCACCTCCTCCCGCATCCCAGACCTCACCTGCCGCGACGTTGGGCAGAGTTTGATGGTTCTTGTGGATGTCTCCATAGCGGATCCACAGCGGGAGGGGAACGTGCAGCTGAGACTGGCGACCCCCACACAGATTGGAGTGGCAGCAGCTAGGCGAGTGCAGGAGAAGCTGCGTCACTGGGGGCCGCACTTAGAGGGGTTGCAGCGGACACCACACTTTTACGCGTGCGTGGCGGAGACCTTTGGCCTTCTGAGCGAGCCGCTGCGTCAGTTTTTGGGGCTCTGCGCAAAGAGGATAACACAGCGGAGGAGGGATAGGGGAGGGGGGGACGACGGATCGGCACGGATATTTGAGGCAGGACTCACTACACGCCTCTCCGTGGCACTACAGCGCGCGCAGGCTCAATGCATCATCCAGCATGCGGTGCGGCAATTGGGGGGATCCGACGACGGGTGGATGCCCGCACCAGTCCCAGTGAGTGCGGGGCAGGGTACCTGGCACCACGTCACAGGGTGCTTCGAGAGTGTTGCCGACATGCAGTATATATATGATGCATATGTGTAAAAAACAATGGTGGCTGTGCTTGAAACGCTGTGCCCGCGCTGTCCTGTGGGTTGCTGCCGTGTTTGGTCCCTTGGTGCTTCCTCCTCCTTAATCTCTCTCCCTCTCTCCTCTTCTTTTCCCACCTCCCTCTTTCTTTTCCCTTCTTTTCCCTTCTTCTATCCTTCCCTTCTCTTCCTACCACTCTCTTCTTTTCCCTACAACTTCTTCTTACTCCTCAATCTTTCCTTCTTTTTTCTTTCCCCCTTTTCCTACAAATTATATATACCGTCCTCATAGCGATTTAGTCATGCCAAAATTTCCTAGTCTTTAGAAAACCATTATATTCGGCTTGTACTCGCTCTTCTCTTATTAACAAATAACTGCTCTCGCCCACCGGCGCTTAGCTTCGGAGTTCTGATGGGATCCGGCGTAGTAGCCGAGACATGATCGTTCCACATTAATCTCGTGCCCCGACCAGTACGCACTCCTTGCTCGGGTCCCCCCTTCATAGTCACACTCCCTGCCCCCTCATGCCATCCGCTCTCCCCGCCCCTACCCTCCGCGTGCCCGCTTTCTTGCCGCCTCTTTTGACCCTCTCTGCCCCCCTCGCCGTTTCCCACCGCCCGCCATTCGCTCCTCCCCGCCCGTGCCCTCCCCTCGTTTACCTTCTCCTCCCCCCTCCCCTCCTCTGCTGCATGCCTCGCCCTTCTTCTCGTCGCGTCGAAACGAAATCAGCCCAGGCAGCTTTGGAATTCTCGAAAGTGCTTTGTACAGCTAAGCTGTCAGCTTCGGAACTCCCCCCAGTGGTCGAGCAGCTTTGTTTGCAGGTTCGGCTTCACATTTCGGCTTCGGGAGCTGTCATGGAGGCCAGGAACCGGGAGCTGGTGACCCATTGGCTGTGGGTCTCGACCTAATCTGCTATGTTGGCGCGGAAAAACTGTAAACACTTACTGTGAAATTATTACGTTCCATATTTAAGAAGTATTAAAATAGTGCCTCATTAGTTTGTGTGTTCAGTTCATATCTATTGCATTCAAAACATATCACACTTTGGATAAAAAAAACATTTGTACTGTTATGAGTTGTAAAAGAGATTGCGCAGGTAAACGAATAACGAGACTGTGATTAACTGATCTAAGAATACAATGAAGGAACGCACTAATGTAGGAGCTAGCCTAGCTAGGAGGAAACCTCGGACGAGCGAGGTTGGGGTGCAGGTTTGGCGATGGGAAATGCCGAAGGCGACGCGAGGAGCCTCGGCAGCGTTGAAATCGGCCGAACATGCAAAGTCCGAAGATCGGGCTGTACGCGTAGCAGTCAACCCCGATAAGGGAATCGGGAAAATTCCTTACACTACCCCCCCCCTTAAGAAAGGCGGTCAATATCCGAAACACGCCTGCGTGCCAAATAATCACCAACAAGTGACGAGGCGTCGAGCGAGTCGGAATGCACCCACGTGTCATCCTCACTGGTGCGGTCAGTCCAACGGATCAGAAAATCCACGTGGCGACCAGCTGCGTCACGGCGAACCCGATGTGCCAGAATCTTCGAAGGTTCGAGAGTCGGCTCCGGGACAGGTCGTGCAGTTGGGGCAGCTTGTTGCCTCGCGATGTCGGTCGTGGCTGGCACGAACTTTCGAAGCAGGCTGACGTGGAAGGCGTCATGAATGCGCCAGTCGTCGGGTAGCAGCATCTTCGCGGTGACAGGTGTCACCATCTTGATAATCTTGAAGGGCCCACAAAATCGTGGCCGTAATTTCGACGGGCCGGGCAGGTGCAGGTTCTTCGTGTCAAGTAGCACTAGTTGCCCAGTGGTCAAGACGAGTTCCCGGCGTAGAAGGTCGGTATATTTGCGGGAAGTGATATTCGCCTTGCGAATTGCGTCTGCGGCCTTTTCTCGGACTTCCTGAAGTTCCGTCACAAAAGTCTGTGACCTCGGGAGCGGGTTGTCGAGGGAAGTCGCTGTCGGAACCGTCGGATCCATCCCGTAATTTAGGAAAATCGGGGAGTGATTAGTCGTGCTGGACGGCGCGTTGTTGAAAGCGAACTCCAACATGGCAAGAGATTCCTCCTAGCGGGCAGGGTCGGGGCAGTTTGTCCTGATCAGCTCCTCCATGGTCTGATTGGTCCGCTCGGTTTGACCGTCCGTGTGTGGGTGATATGCCGATGAGTACTGTAGCTTCGTGCCGTACTGCACCCACGTCTCCTTCCAGAATTTTGACGTGAACTTCGGATCTCGGTCACTGATGATCGCCGAAGGGATGCCGTGCAGTCGCACGACCGTTGAGATGAAGAGGCGCGCAGTTTCTTCGGCTGTGATTGTCGTTCGGCATGGGGCGAAGTGCGCCATTTTCGTGAAGCGATCGACGACGACAAGCACCGCGTCGTTGCCGATCGGCCCAGCTGGCATCCCCGTGACAAAATCCATTGTCACTTGCTGCCACGGTCGTTCGGGTGGCTCGAGGGATTGCAGCAGCCCAGCTGGTCGTTGGCGTGTCGATTTCATAGATTGGCACACCCTGCATGAGGACACATATCGCTGCACGTCGTTAGAGGAGTCAGGCCAGTAATATTGACGGTGCAGTAATTTCTGGGTTTTATCAACCCCGAAGTGTCCGGAGAAGTTTGAATCGTGGACCTCCTGGATAAGGAGTTCACGTAGCAGCCTGTAAGCGGGAACCCAAATCCGGTCGGTTCCGGCTGTTAGGTAATAATCCCCTTTCTGCGCCGTGGCCTGCTGATGATTCCCAGTCGTGAAGAACGGGTCCGTAGTGTAGCCGTGGGTGATTAGTCCTGTAAGTAGCGGGTTCGAGTGGGTAATAAGTACTGCAGCGGATTGTACTGTCGGTCGGGTCAGGGCGTCGGCGATGCTATTTGCCCCTTTCTTGTACGTGATGCAGTAGTTGAAATGGCTCTCCATCTAATCCAGCCACCGTAATTGTCGCGGGTTGAGGTTGGGCTGGGCTCGCAGGTACTGTAGGGATTTGTGGTCCGTGCGAACAGTGACGTCGGCGCCCACCGAGTAGCAGCGCCACAGTTTGAACGCGTGTATTATGGCGAGCATCTCCTTGTTGTGGATCGGGTAGTTGCGTTCGGCTGCCTGCAGCTTGCGTGATTCGTAGGCTATCGGCTGCAACCCGTTCCCGAAATCTTGGAGTAGCACAGCTCCGATGGCAAAATCTGAGGCGTCGGTGACAACTTCGAACGGCTTCGATGGGTCGGCGATGTGCAGCACAGGAGGGGAAACGAGAAAATTCTTGAGTTCCTGGAAAGCAGCCTCTGCCTCCTCCCCCCACACAAAATTCCTGTCCTTGTGCAGCAGGTCGGTGAGCGGGCCGGTTATCCCCGCCATATTCGAGATAAACCGCCTGACGTAATTCACGAATCCCAGAAAACTCTGAAGTTCAGTGACATTCCTCGGGGACTTCCACTCCTGTATGGTCTTGATTTTCGCCGGGTCGATTTTAATGCCGTCGTGCGAGGTGACGTGCCCCAAAAACTCCAACTCCTGCTTAAAAAACTCGCACTTATAGCCCTTGGTGATGAGTCGGTTCTCCTGCAGCCGCTTAAACACTGCATCCAGGTCGCGTAGGTGTTGCTCCCGTGTCTTGCTAAAAATGAGGATGTCGGCCAAGTAGACGATGACACATCGGTCTAGAAGATCCCGAAAACCCTGTTCATGGTGAGTTGAAATGTCGAAGGCGCATTCGTGAGGCCGAAAGGCATCATCGTAAATTCGTAACTCTTGTAGCGTGTGCGAAACGCAGTCTTGTGGCAGTCGTCAGCGAAGACTCGAATCTGATGGTAACCGCCACGTAAGTCAATCTTCGAGAAATATCGAGCGCCACGAAGTTGGTCGAGGAGGTCGTCGGTGCGTGGGATTGGATAGCGAGACTTGATGGTGACCCGGTTCAGCGCGCGATAGTCGATGCACATGCGAAGCCCGCCGTCTTTCTTCGGAGTGAACATGATTGGTGCTGCGAAGGGAGAGGTGCTGGCCCGAATGAACCCTTTCTCCAACAATGCGTCAATTTGACTTCGCAGCTCCTCGAGTTCCGGCTGGGTCAACTGCCACTGTGTCCGAACAGTCGGCTGCGCGCCAGGTTCCAGCTGGATTTTGTGGTCCTCGGGTCTCTCGGGTGGCAGTCCAGGTGGCAGATCGTCGGGGAAGATGTCGGGGTACCTCCGAATCAGCTCCGCTAAATCCGGTGGTACAGCTGCACACAGCTTCTCGACGTCCTTTCCGTCGGTGTCAACCACCAACTCGCGTAAGCAAACAGCGAACAGCTGCGCGCCCCTGTTGAAGTGGCGAGCTATAGTGATAGCTTTGACGCACGGGGCTTGGATGTAGTCAGGTGTCCATGCAGGCAGCTTAATTAGCCCCTCGTGCTTGTTGATGCTGCACGATCCCGTTGTCCAGTCGATGACGGGGTTGTGCCATCGAAGCCAATCACGTCCCAGCAGCACGTCGCAGCCGTCCAATGTTGTCGCGAGAAACTTCATGCTAAAGCCGAAATCGTCGCCGCATTCGATCCTGACCGTCCGTGTTTCTTCCGTTATCGCCAGAGGCGTCCCATCCACGAGGCGGGCGTCAATTTCGGGCAGACACCTGTCAAGTTGCAGCTTCCATTTTTTTGCGCTCGCCAAATTGAAGAGGCTATGGCTGGCCCCCCCGTCGACGAACATTTTCAAGTTATTTTTTAACACCTTGCCAGCGACCAGCACAGGGTGATCCACATGTGTATCCCCGTTATTCGGCCGAGTGCGATCGATTGCATGAATTGGAACCACGACTCGGTGGGGATGGTGGGGTTCGGGCGACGGAGCACAGTCAGTAAAGGGCCCGCTAATTACTGACTCTTCCCATTTCCCTGCTCCTTCCTGTCGTTCCACGTCAGCGGCGTTTTCTCGTAGCAGCCTTTCATGTAGTGACCCGTCTTCCCACACCGGTAACACGGTCCCTTAGGAGGGCGGTCGGGTGTATGGACGGCGTTGATCGTGGCCCGATGGGTCTGGCCACGAAAGCGGGTTCCATCCTTGGAAGCTGCTCTCGCGTACTGCATCAGCGCATCTGTAGACTCCGCCAGCCGTACTGCTTCAAGAAATGATGTCGGGCGGCCCCTGCGAACCTCGTACTGTATCTCGTATTTGAGGCCGCTGATGTATTTATCGAACCGCTCAGCTTCTGACATATCATCAACTTGGTCGGCGAGGCCCATAAATGACGCCGTGTAGTCTTGGACAGAAGCCATTTGCGACCATGCACGTAGCTTCATGCGAGCTTGCTCCGAGGCGGATACGTGCTCGAAGCGATCACGTAAGGCTGCGCCCCACTCCTTCCACGTGCGTATCGTGGTCACTCCGAAGATTGATTGTGCCACTTGATTAGTCACTGTTGAGGTCCCGTTTGCCGCATGCGTCACACCTGTCGGCGTCCCCGTTTCCAAGGTTCGGCACCACCACTCAAGCGCTGCACCTCGAAGAAGCAAAACCGCGTAATTAATACGCGTGGCATCGTCGTTAACTCCTGCTGCAATGAAGAAGACCTCGACCCCGAACAGCCACCCTTTTACTGTAACCGTCTTGTCCGTAGGATTCAACGGGGGCGGGTTGACGGGCTTGATCTTGATCGTTGTTACTGCAACTGGCGCTGCTTCCACTCGTTGCCTATCTTCCTCTTCGAAGTCACGTGTGAGCGCGTCCAAAGGATTGCTCACCGCTTGACTGTTGCTCTCGCCTTCGTCCTTGGGCGACACCTGACGCGCTTCACCTCGCGTCT